GGGAGGGCCTGGCCTTCTCATTCAACTTGATGGTCAAGAGTTCCCATAAACACACTCCAAAACTTGGAGCAGTTTTCCCAGAGGAGCTCAAGCTGTTAGAGCTACATACCAGCATGATACTGAACCCAATGGATTTAACAACGGGAAGTCACTCGCGCACACACACACGCACACACACGTACACACACGTACACACACACACACACACACACACACACACACATTTATGCACACACACACATATATGTATACACACAAACACATGATGAAACAAATTATCTTCCTTTGGGTTCCAGTAGAAAGTGCCCATCCCCCTTATGAACACAAAAGCCATCCCCAGTGGTGCGGGCTGCGTTGGTACTCATCTACAGTGAAATCATTTACAGCTAAAGGGAAAGGAAAAAAGAAATCATTCAAATATTGAAGTGAAAGTAAATGTTTGGTGTTTCCTTTCCGATGATTTCCCATATATATACACATATATACAGTATATATGTATATATATATATATATATACACACACACACACACACATACACAAGTATATAAGCTCATTAGACATCAGCTGCACGCCTGCTGCCTGACAACCATTCTGATAAGGCTTTGAACGCTTCAGCAAGGAAAACATCTGAAATGATTATTCTTCAGAGGAACAAATAAAGCCATAAAGTGATTTAAATATATACAAAAACTCAAATTAATCATGACAGACGACCTTGTCCAGGGTGTGCCACGCCTCTGGCCCAAGGTCAGTTGAGATGGGAACCCCCCCCCCCCCCCAAGACATGGACAATAGGTGGATGATAAACAAAAAAACATAAAACACAATTTGCAAACAATGAGCGTACCCCTTTTCTAGCATTTCCAAACGTGTTCTGTTGTCAGATGAGTCCATTTTTCAGCTTTTGTAAAGAAGAGAGACAGGAGCAAAAGCCATAGTCTGTGATGGTAGAAAGATACATCATGTGTAACTTGTGGGGGTTTTATGTGTTGAGATACCCTTGCTGGAACTTTTGGAAAGTCATTTTAGTCAAGGTTTTACCCGTAATTAAAGCTGTGACATGCCAGACCTCATTTTGAACAAATGACAGATTTGTGTCTTCATAGAAACAGAAAGTCTGGGTTTGACGGGCCCACCTCCATTCTAGATCTCTAGATGTGTGTCCTATTGTCCCTAAAGTTATCACAAAGAATACGAAAACAGATGAAAATGTATACTCAACAAAATCTCTGGAAAAAACATTCAGATATTCTTTTTTCCAGTCTTGGTTTGAAAAGAAGTGTAATCAAATTGACAGTTAGCATGACTTGGTCTTAAATCTGTCTCTTTCCCCACTTTTTTAAGAAGCAACATTTACATGAAATATTGAATTTGTTTAAATAACCACCACACCGCCGTGCAGCTGTCATTCTCTTTATATTACAGACAAAAGGATTTAAATTTCTGTGACTCTCAATTGATTCTTTTACTCTGCCACATAATAAACCCCCTTCATTCGTTCTATTATCACCTCAATTCCTGCAGACAGAAAACCGGTGGGGTAAAAAGAAGGGCCAGAGGGGTGCTGCTAGCTGGATCGTTGCACTTTGGATTCAGTTTAAGGAAACACACACAAACTAATGGCTGTTCATTACCTTGGCAGCAGGGGTGCTGGGCTGCTGATAGCCACACAGAAACTGATGTTAGTGGTAAAGATGGAAAAAACAGACAAGAAACAGCAAAGTGAGAAAGGGCTGAGGAGAGAAGCCGGAGAGGGCAAAAGTCACCCGTGACATTATCACCAGAGAACCTTGAAGAGCATAACAGTGCAGAGGGAAGACTGGTCACATCACTATGTTTCTGGATTGAGTTTGAACTCACCATAGCAACATCAGCCTGGAAGATCTGCTTGATGAACTTGTTCTTTGATGAGTGGACCAGCTGGATGATGTCGGTGTGGAGGCTATCGCGGTTTTTCTCCAGGAATCCTGACAGACAGAGGGACAGAGATTTGTTTCTCTGGGACATAAAATCCCATGACTGCTTGAGTATTTTTTATCCTCATAGAATTTGATGAGGGACATGATATAAGGTCTGAAAACTAAGCGCAGCACACAAAGACAAAGGTTTGAGCTTATGTACTTAAAAGAGACACAGACCACACAACACATTTAATTTCCATATGAGGTCCTTTTGTCCATAAAAATGTTTACCTGTTAGATATTTTATCATGGTATTTTTGGTTTTAACATCAAGCATATTTAGATTCAGTTATATACTGTCGTTTTCACACTACTGAGTGAACCTGAATGTAAGTCACACCCACTAACTTCAAAAAAAGAAAAATACGACAGAAAATAGTACATAAAATAGTACATATATAGGCCGCTTTGTCCATAAACCGCATGTGTTCACACTGTTACGAGACTTTTAAACAAAGATTTTTAAACTTATAATTCAATACGTTCCGGTAACGTATACAACTATGTGCAGCAAATGCTTTTTTCTGGATTTTTGCATCATTTTGGTCAGCAGATGTGCACAAACTGTGGTGAACAAAACACTTAAAAACAGCCCTAGAATAGGACAAGCCTAACCCCATCATTAGGTCCTTCGGGAGAGAGACAATGATCTGATGGAAGAAGACATACCTCTGGACTCGTAATGCACCACTCCAGCAAAGTGTTGGATGCCAAACTGCGTTTCATAGCAGTTTTTAGGAGGAATGTAGTTGGAATTGAGCTTGTGCTGGGAGTTGAGCTTATACAACATTGTAGCATCTGTTCCCTGATGAAATATCAAACATAAATATAAAAGTCTTTTCACAAAGGCAACTTTTGGGTGATTATCATATCAATGTTCATGTGATATGTGGTCTCTTCCAGGAAACGACCCCCTTTTTCCTACCTTGGGGAATTTGCTCTCCTCATCAATAAGCGATATGATGTTCATGGGTTTATTGGCTATCATGTCCAGTGCATCCTGGTTGTCAGTGAACTCAATGTGCTGCCAGCTGATGTCCTCCAAGTTGTATTCCTCCTGTTCCAGTTTGAAAACATGGCGGACGAAGAACTGCTGCAGGTTCTCATTGGCAAAGTTGATGCACAGCTGTTCAAAACTACAAAGGAAACAACATGTCAGCAGAAAAAAAATAAAAAAGCAGAAGAGCTGATTTATGTCCGGGGAAGACAAATCATCACCTGTTAACGATGAAGTTCTCAAAGCCAAATATGTCCAGCAACCCGATCGACTTTCTGATGGGGGTACTCTCACAGGAAGGAGGGCGGTATATGGCAGCATTGATCTTATCAACTATCCAGACAAACAGCCTGCCATAGATCCCCTGGTAGTTCAAACAAAAGGCGAGAAAAATATTGATCAAATTAACTGTTCCACAATCAAAACAACCAGGAGATATGGAGAACAAATACTTTCGACTGACAGGCCATCCCTTTGAACAACAGAAGTTCGGTACCTTGACAAATGCATCCCTCACATCCAAGCCTTGTTCCACACTGAGAGGTGTGGTGACACTCTCCCCACGCGTGATGAGGGTCCGGGTGGTCAGGCACACCATCACGTCTTTAGGGTCAACCTGTGGTACATGTCAGTTAGAATGCTTGATGCCAAAATGTATGTTACCTCTCTTCCAAACAAGCAAGGCCCTGTCAGTGAATCAGATGAGCTGAAAGCAGTTCACCATGTTTGTTCCCTTGGCTGGGACACTGTTTTGTGTAATGAAGGGTTTAGAATTTCGGACAAAACATGTGTTTCAGTCTTCTTTATTTAGTTCCTGTTTGATCATAGCAAATGTCATTGGTATACTGACTTTTTAAAAAGTTTTTATTTCTATATACGTTTAGCTAATATGTTGGCAAAATCCTTATATTAGGTTGAATATATTTGATGTAATCATTGTACATCAATGCATAAATTGGTAAATTACTTGTATTGTAATTAGCTATGAGACTTTTATAAAGTTACTTAATTTGAGAACTGCAACCAGCGTAGTAATTTTCGGTTTCCTTCACACAAATCAGTTTTCACTGTCTCTCCTAGTGAAAGACTCTCTCTCTCCTCTGGCTCTCTGGAGATCAGGGAAAATGACAAATGTAGGTATAGATAAATTTGAATGATTCAGTCCATCCATCCATTCATCCATTCTCCTCCGCTTATCCGCGGTCGGGTCGCGGGGGCAGCAGCCGTAGCAGGGAAACCCAGACTTCCCTCTCCCCCCCCACTTCTGCCAGCTCCTCCGGGGGGATCCCGAGGCGTTCCCAGGCCAGCCGGGACACATAGTCCCTCCAGCGGGTCCTGGGTCTTCCTCTGGGCCTTCTCCCGGTGGGACGAGCCCGGAACACCTCCCCAGGGAGGCGACCAGGAGGCATCCTGATCAGATGCCCGAGCCACCTCAACTGGCTCCTCTCCACGTGGAGGAGCAGCGGCTCTACTCCGAGCCCCTCCCGGATGGCCGAGCTTCTCACCCTATCTCTAAGGGAGAGCCCAGCCACCCTGCGGAGGAAACTCATTTCGGCCGCTTGTATCCGCGATCTCGTTCTTTCGGTCACTACCCAAAGTTCGTGGCCATAGACGAGGGTGGGAACGTAGATCGACCGATAAATTGAGAGGTTCGCCTTTAGGCTCAGCTCTCTTTTCATCACGACAGACCGGTACAGCGCCCGCATTACTGCAGACGCCGCACCGATCCGCCTATCGATCTCACGCTCCCTACCCCCATTTGCGAACAAGACCCCGAGATACTTGAACTTCTCCACTTGGGGAAGGATGTCTGCTCTGACCCAGAGAAGGCACTCTACCCATTTCCGGTGAGAGACCATGGTCTCGGACTTGGAGGCACTGATCCTCATCCCAGCCGCTTCGCACTCGGCTGTGAACCGCTCCAGCGAGAGCTGTAGGTCCCGACTTGATGAAGCCAACAGGACCACATCATCTGCAAAAAGCAGAGATGCGATCCTAAGGCCACCAAGACTGACACCCTCAACACCTCGGTTGCGCCTAAAAATCCTGTCCAGAAAAGTTATGAACAGGACCGGAGACATAGGGCAACCTTGGCGGAGTCCAACTCCCACCGGAAACGGGTCCGACTTACTACCGGCAATGCGAACCAGACTCTGACTCCAGTCGTACGGGGACCGAACAGCCCGTAACAAAGGGCCAGGTACCCCATACTCCCGGAGCACCCCCCACAGGATACCCTGAGGGACACGGTCGAACGCCTTCTCCAAGTCCACAAAACACATGTGGACTGGTTGAGCGAACTCCCATGCACCCTCCAGGACCCCGCTGAGGGTATAGAGCTGGTCCAGCGTTCCACGGCCAGGATGAAAACCACACTGTTCCTCCTCAATCCGAGACTCGACTATCCGACGGACCCTCCTCTCCAGAACCGCTGAATAGACCTTCCCAGGGAGGCTTAAAAGTGTGATCCCCCTGTAGTTGGAACACACCATTCGGTCCCCCTTTTTAAATAGGGGGACCACCACCTCAGTTAGAACCCCAATCCAGCGGAACTGCCCCTGATGTCCACGCAATGTTGCAGAGTCGCGTTAGCCAACGCAACCCCACAACATCCAAAGCCTTGAGGAACTCCGGCCGAATCTCATCCACCCCCGGAGCCGTGCAACCGCGGAGCTTTTTGACTACCTCGGTGACCTCAGCCCCGGAGATTAAAGAGTCCAACTCTGGATTTCCAGGCTCTGCCCCTCCATTGGAGGACACGCCAGTGGGATTGAGGAGGTCCTCGAAGTACTCCGCCCACCGACCCACAACGTCCCGAGTTGAAGTCAACAGCACCCCATCCCCACTGTAAACAGTGTTGGTGGGGCACTGCTTACCCCCCCTGAGACGTACCAAAAAAAATCACAGAAGTGTAGACAATCCGCATGCAGCATGCATCCAGGGGTACACACCTCCATGAGAGAAGCAGCAGTCACCAGATCAGGAGATCTCACCACCACACAGGCGTCCAGGTTTTCATATGTACGGGCTGCAGGAAAGAGGCCATTAAACCAAAGGGGCTGCTCTGGTTAATGAGTCTGATGTGAACAAGCATTTACACACCCTCGAACCGCAGGTTTCCCATATGCAGAATGGAAGCCAGCAGCTTGGAAATCTCCCAGCTCTCCGTTTCGGTGAACATGAGGACCTTCATGGCAGACAGAATACTGGAGTATTCGCTCAGATCGTTACGGCCATCACATTCTGTGCAGTTACCCTGCAAAGACATGTTCAGAAAGGTCCGATTCAAGTTGTTGGTGTGCTTAGGGAAGCGTGGGGAGCCCATTCCTCTTGGAGAAGTGTGGATTCTAAAGCCAGATGGTAGACAAAAGCTCCCTACCACTGGAACAATGCTGTCTCCTTTATAGTTTCACACACTATTGGTCACCAATGATTGCAAGGCCAGCCTTTTATGTGGACACGTGCACAACACCAGCTGAAATGGCCAAACTTTTGAGTGAATGTACTTTACAGAATGAGCTTTTCCGGGTCAAAATCCCACCCTGTAATCCCCCCTCCACCACACCCCATACCCAAAAGCCTCTTACCGTGCAATCCCCCTCCACCACACCCCATACCCAAAAGCCTCCTTCCCTGCAATCCCCCTCCACCACACCCCATACCCAAAAGCCTCCTACCCTGCAATCCCCCTTCACCACACCCCATAGCGAAAAGCCTCCTACCCTGCAATCCCCCTCCACCACACCCCATAGCCAAAAGCCTCCTAACCTGCAATCCCCCTCCACCACA